AGTTCATCAGTCACTACTGGATTTAAACAGCCGAGTCACTACCGGATTTGAACAGTTGAGTCACTACTGGATTTGAACAGCAGAGTCACTACTGGATTTGAACAGCAGAGTCACTACTGGATTTGAACAGCCGAGTCACTACGGGATTTGAACAGTCGAGTCACTAAAGGATTTGAACAGCAGAGTCACTACTGGATTTAAACAGCCGAGTTACTACTGGATTTGAACAGTCGAGTCACTACTGGATTTGAACAGTCGAGTCACTACGGGATTTGAACAGTCGAGTCACTACTGGATTTGAACAGTCGAGTCACTACTGGATTTGAACAGTCGAGTCACTACGGCATTTGAACAGTCGAGTCACTACTGGATTTGAACAGTCGAGTCACTACGGGATTTGAACAGTTGAGTCACTATCAGATTTGAACAGCAGAGTCACTACTGGATTTGAACAGTCGAGTCACTACTGGATTTGAACAGCAGAGTCACTACTGGATTTGAACAGCAGAGTCACTACTGGATTTGAACAGCCGAGTCACTACGGGATTTGAACAGTCGAGTCACTAAAGGATTTGAACAGCAGAGTCACTACTGGATTTAAACAGCAGAGTCACTACTGGATTTGAACAGTCGAGTCACTACTGGATTTGAACAGTCGAGTCATTACTGGATTTGAACAATCGAGTCACTACTGGATTTGAACAGTCGAATCACTACTGGATTTGAACAGTCGAGTCACTACTGGATTTGAACAGCCGAGTCATTACTGGATTTGAACAATCGAGTCATTACTGGATTTGAACAATCGAGTCACTACTGGATTTGAACAGTTGAGTCACTACTGGATTTGAATAGCCAAGTCACTACCTTGATTTGAACAGCCGAGTAACTACTGGATTTAAACAGCCGAATCACTACTGGATTTGAACAGTTGAGTCACTACTGGATTTCAACAGCCGAGTCACTACCTTGATTTGAACAGTCGAGTCACTACTGGATTTGAACAGCCGAGTCACTACCAGATTTGAACAGTCGAGTCACTACTGGATTTCAACAGTCGAGTCACTACTGGAATTGAACAGTCGAGTCACTACTGGATTTGAACAGTTGAGTCACTACTGGATTTCAATAGCCAAGTCACTACCTTGATTTGAACAGCCGAGTAACTACTGGATTTAAACAGCCGAATCACTACTGGATTTAAACAGTCGAGTCACTACTGGATTTGAACAGTAGAGTCACTACGGGATTTGAACAGTCGAGTCACTACTGGATTTGAACAGTTGAGTCACTATCAGATTTGAACAGCAGAGTCACTACTGGATTTGAACAGTCGAGTCACTACGGGATTTGAACAGTTGAGTCACTATCAGATTTGAACAGCAGAGTCACTACTGGATTTGAACAGTTGAGTCACTATCAGATTTGAACAGCAGAGTCACTACTGGATTTGAAAAATTAAGTTACTACAGGATTTGAACTGCCGAGTCACTACTGGATTTGAACAGTTCAGTCACAACCAGATTTGAACAGCAGATTCACTACTGGATTTGAACAGTCGAGTCACTACTGGATTTGAAAAATTAAGTTACTACCGGATTTGAACTGCAGAGTCACTACTGGATTTGAAAAGCCGAGTCACTACTGGTTTTCTAAAGCTGAATCACTACTGAATTTGAACAGTCGAGTCACTACTGGATTTGAACAGCCAAGTAACTACTGGATTTGAACAGTTGAGTCACTACGGGATTTGAACAGCCGAATCACTACCGGATATGCACAGTCGAGTTACTATTATCAAATTTGAACAGTCAAGTTACTACCAGCTGAACTCAGGAAAAAACAAAATACATGACAGATTTGATTGATACTGACATCTCTACATGTTTTGATGACGCTTTTTCTGTCAAAATGTGCCAATCTTCCAAGAACCAAGGTAATAAAAAGCAGCCTTTTCTAGCTTGATATTGTAATTCAGTCAACCCTGACATTATATTCAGCCATTATACAGCAAACCAATGCCCTCTGATTCACTTCGATATTATCAGAAATAATACTGTTTGAATAGCTGATTTGCATGATGAAAACAAAAGTACAAAACATTGACACTGATAAAACAGAGGACAGCATGCCAACAAATTGTGCATATTTATATAGTCTTTCATTGTCCACAAACTGAGGTTTTTAATAAAACCGCATTTTTCCCGTGGATTTATGCAATTTCATTTGTACAATACAGGAATGATTAGGTTGCAAAGTGGTGATATAGAAAGCAATACCTGTCATACTTCAAACTGTGAAATATGAGGTCAGGGAAATTTAGTGATTGCTGGTAATTCTCATCAAAAGTCGCTTAAATATTTAAGTACCCCTTCTGTAGCTATGCATGACAAACATGATTATGGGTGCTGCTAAATGGAACAGTGGGATTATATATAACATACTAGATATGGGCATATTGTATTTAAAACATGCATTCCAGATTCTGGGTGCCTAGCTGAAGTTGGGGCATACTTTTGATTACCCATATATTTATTTAATATTAATTAATTTTATTAATTGTAATAT